TCAGCGTCCACCTACAGGAGCCACAGGTGGTGGCCTGACTTGCGTACGCGCTGTGAGCACGCTCTCTGCCCTCCCGGCAAAAATTTAAAGACTGGGGGAGGGGTGGTGACCGCGGTTGCCCCGGCCACTCCCGTGCCACGGTGTCAGCCTCTCGCGGGAGAGCTGTCGGCGGGAGTCGGGATATTCCGCTGCCTTGGGGGTTTCCTGCCGAAGGTCCTGAAAACCTCCCTGTACCTCGCGATCAGTTGGTCCGGCGGAGCTGGGTCGGCTCCGAAGCAGCTGATCTCGTTTGAATTGAACCTGTTTGAGTCTTTAAGTAATGTAAATACCTCCATCTTGTGTATAGAAGTCACTGCAAACAGGACCTGTAGCTTTAAAAACCTGTCCTGGAAAGAGCGTATAAGAGAAAACATCTTTTTCTTTCCTTCCCTTGAAATGGACCTAGAGAATTAAGGAAAAAAAAAACAACAAAAAACCAAAACGAAAACAACCCCCTCTGTCCCCCCTATATTTCTGTCACCCATTGGTTCGAGGCTTTCTTTCCTGCTCAGTTTTGTTCATAACACTTAAGAAATTATGCTGTTTTTTTCATTTGCTTCTGGAAATGCTTGGTGCTGTGCTTTACTAGGGAGCAGGAAGGGCCATTGGAACCTGAAGCTTCCCTTGCAGTTTGTGGAATGGCAGGTGGTTTGGGGGCAAGGGAGCATAGAGCAGAGCGGAGAAGGCACCTAGTGTGTCTGAGGCTGGGGAAGCTATGCACTGAAGTGATCCAGGGAAAGCGGAGGAAAGAAAGTAGCAGGAGAAAGTCGACAAACCTATCTAAACAGCAGCAACAAGCAACAAAATGGATTGTGAAATCTACCTACAAAATCCATGTGCTCATGGATGTCTTGTTGCATTGAAAATTGTAAGGGCTTATACTTATGTCTAGTCTCTTTACCATCACTATTCTGAAAAGTCTATTTTTAGTGACTTTGTTATGATGGGTAAATGTGGCAAGTGCTATCACTACTGAAGTAAGAACACGAAGCACCACAGGCACGCAGATTGAAAGCTTCATGTTAGGAATTCCTTTACTTACTGTATTTCCTTCCATATCAAACTACTTTTGGGGATATAGTTGTATTTGCCCATTCAGCAAACAGATTCCAAAAGATTTAATATTTAGTGACAGGATTTGGTGGTTTTATTAAACAATTAAGTAGCTTCTTTCCCTTAATTTTTTTTTGTAGCTTTTTTTTAGAGTTCTGAGAATCTCACTATTTTGTGTATGTTCCAGAACAAATGTAAAACAGAATTTCTGAAGAAACTAGAGCATCAAAAGCTGATAGAGGCAGAGAAGAAACGAATCGCATATATGCGGCAGCAGCAGCTTGAATCAGAACAGTTTCAATTCTTCGAGGATCAACTTAAGAAGCAAGAACTAGCTCGAGATCAGAAAATCAAAGAGAGTATGGTTATGTCTGAACAGATAGATGGAAGTATGCTATCTTGTATTTCTGTACCGGAGAACAGTTCCTTATCTACTGCACTGCTTGAGAAAAAAGAGAGGAGTGACACGTCTGGCTGCGCTGGACATTCACCTCCAGTAAACCAGGTCTTAAAGCCAGCGGCTACTTTAAGTGCTGTCCAGAGTGAGTGCAGAGATTTTTTTTTTTGACTTTTTAATTTTAGCTGCCTCTTTGCTTATAGCAGTTCACATATTACATATGCATGTGTATCTCTCCACCTGGAGGTTGTCTGTAGTGAAATAAGCATGAACAGGTCAAGGTACACACCACAGTTCCATATAGTTTCTTCATTTTAAGAGAGATTATTTGCACAGTTTCACATTTTCCAGTTGACTACCACTAGATGTATCTAGAGCTTGAGATTCAGTGTCTGAATCTTCTTGTGGACTTCAAAGGAACAGAGGCAGAACCTGCAGTGGTTCACCCTGGCCCTGGGAAAAGGTATCGGTTCACTGTCACTTGAGGGGCAGGCTGGGGAGGGTATTTTATGGGCTGGTGACCTCGATTTAGGGTCAAGTACTTGTGCTGTAGATTTATTCTTGTTAGAAATCTGTGATATGGTAAGTATAATTCTTTCACTTTTAATAATTTCCTGTACCTGTGTACATTTCCTTATTTTAGGGAACTTTACTGTGTAAGCTGCAAATGCCTTTCAATCTGTCCCTCCTTTTCTTTTCTTTGCTTGTTTGTTTTTTGGCTAGCTCAATTGGCTGAAGCACTCAGAGGCGTCATTTTGCCCAGGGATCTCTGTCACAGATTTCTGCTGCTAGCAGAGGCAAATACTGTAAGAGGAATAGAGACGTGTGGAATTCTCTGTGGAAAACTGGTACGTTTTAACCCTCATATTTTATGGGGAAAGACATATTTGATACTGCTGTATTTTCCTGTACTTTATCAATTTCAGAGCAAAAGCAGATTTAATGTAATTATCTTCATATTATACCTTGAGTTGTCACTTTGGCAGTGTGGGCTTGCTTTATTGGGGAAACCTCTGATCAAAGTACACTGCTGTCATTACAAAATGTAGCAGATTTTCCAGCATGCTGTACAATACAGGCTTTTTCGAGTACTTTCTCTGGCGTTCATCTAAGGAAAGTGAAGTCTAGTTACCAGACAATGAAATATAAAGAGCATTAGAATCTACTGTAGTCATCAAATTCATAAAGGCACAACAAAAAAGGAAGAAAATCCCCCCATCAAGCTGTAGAACATCTGCTTTTCAAGCTGGCTTTTTTCCCTTTGACCTAAATAACATTTAATGTCCTTCCAAAGCAGGAAAAGATGTCATAGGTGATGCTGGCATACCAAGAATTTGAAAGATGTGTCCAACTGCATTTGAATTGTATAAAGAGAAATAATAGCAACAGTAGTGATGTTCCAAGTTTCACAAAAAATAATTATAGTATGCTCAAACGTCTTTTTTTTTCATGTTTTAAATCTTTTTTAAAGGACATCCTTTTCACACTGTTCTCTGTGAACATTTCAATCCAACAATCTCACATTGTCACTTGTACTTCCCTGTATGTTCTCATGATAAAATGCTAAGGTGTATTTTCAGGTGTAGTAAGTCAGCATAGTTGCTCTATTGTAGCTGATAGGTTGACATCTTTCAGATTCTGATTCAGCATTTATTCATTAGTTTATTTGTTCTACTCTAAGTCAATGTTTGTTTTGCAGACACATAATGAATTTACTATTACCCATGTAATAGTGCCAAAGCAATCGGCAGGACCAGACTACTGCGACATGGAGAACGTGGAAGAATTATTTGGTATTCAGGATCAGTATGATCTCCTCACTTTGGGTTGGATCCACGTACGTAGATTCTGGCTTTTCTATATCAGCTCTGCATACTATGTGAAAGAAACTCTGGAAATAACAAACTAAAGAAATGACTGGAATAATCCAAATTAATTTGCTCACTTAATTCTAATTGCGGTGATGTAAATTAGCACTAATGTTCTCCACAGATAAGTTGAGGCATCCTGTTGACAGAAGGGGGCCTGCTTTTGCCAGTGCAACTTTTGTTTATGTTGATTTAGGGGTATTTTATTACTTTCTAATGCCATTTATTTTTATACTATATTCAAGATTTGAGGGGGAAGGTATTGTGTTGTTTAAACTTTACATTAATTTCACTCTTGGGGATTTTGGACAATCAAGTCAGTTCCCTCTGTCTTTTGCTTCTTCATTCCACCTTTTTCCCCCCCATGATCAGAAAATTGCTTGTACATCTGATTGTGGCTGTGCCTCCATAAACCTTGTACTGAAAAACCACCACAACAATGTAGAATCTGGGTTAATAGGAATTTAAGAAACCAACCTGGGGAAGTACTGACGCTTTCACTTGTTACAAATTTTTGTTTCTTCTTGAATGTATGTCAACCTTGATTTGTAAGAAATATTTCATGATGTTGAGTTTTCCCTTTCTTTTTGTAGACACATCCAACACAAACTGCATTCTTATCCAGTGTTGATCTTCATACTCATTGTTCTTATCAGCTAATGTTGCCAGAGGCCATTGCAATTGTTTGTTCACCAAAGCATAATGAGTGAGTTCTGATTTTTCTAAGTAATATTTAGATCTTTTCCCCTGATCCTTATTTTAAAATTCTGTCAAATGCAAACAGCACATCAACTGGGATGAAGGGGAGGCATACTGTAATGTGAGTTGGTTTGCTTTTAAGTTGTTTAGACTTACATTCCTGTCAGTTTATATGCACAGTATTGTTTTTGGCTTCTCTCTCCTTCCCACTCCCAACCCTAGTTTTTATTTTATTTATTTTCATACTCTGCTCAACCGAGTAGTAATGACAGGAGCTGTTCTTCTGGAGACATCACCAGTACTGTACCACAGGTCTGTCTTCATTCTGTCTGATGAAGGAAGTCAGGGGGTTAGATACATTTCTCTAGGATGATGCGAAAACTGCAGTTTGGAGAGTAGAGGGATGAAGATCACTTTTTTGATAAGGTCCTATTTTTTTATTTCATAAAATACAAACAATAAGTATCTGGAAAGAATTGGAACTGCATAACAATTAATGTGAAGGTTTATAATGGAAGAGGTTGACGACACCCAAAATGACGCCCAAAAAGGGTGTGAAGTCTGCATCCTTGGAGATATTCAAAACCTGACTGGACATTGTCATGGGCAACCTGCTCAAGGTGATTCTGCTAGAGCATTGGGGTTGAACTAGGAAATTTTCAGAGGTTCCTTCCAACCTCAACAGTTTTGTGATTCTGCTTTGGTGTGCTTGGAATGTCAAGCCCTGGGGCTAACTCCAGTGCTTAGGCTGTGCATTTCTTCAGCCTTTCTTTCTGGCCTTCTGCTGCTGTAGATGACTTCTATGAATCCCATTCTAGTTGCCAAACTTCCTCTATGGGCCATTCAGGTAGAAGAGCTGTAAATACAGCTTGACTGACAAGTGCACAAGCACGAGGCTTTGTAACCTGGAGCACAATGTCTGCATACCTTTTCAACTCTCTGGTCTTGCAAACTTCTTTCATAGTTTATGCTGATACCTTGTAACCAACTCTAACCTGTTACTCCCATCTGTAACATTTTATTAATCAGATGCTGTCTCATAGTTGCTAGGTACTAATGTTCTTTACAGAAGGGTGGTTTTTCTAACTTTTTGTTCAATACTCAGTGTTAGGTCATACATATGCAGCAGTGCATTTTCTAGTGCTTTGTATTACCTGATTACCGAAAAGAGCAGGGAGGATGTGTACTCTCACTTATCTTTTACACAGCTAGCTTAAAAACTGTTCTAAGTTACCCCTCTAGAGTTCAGTGAATGAAATGCAATCCAGGACACCTAAGTTTTTGTTTTGTGTCTGTTCCTATATGAACTAGCCTTGGCCCTTAGGCTAACCTGCCTAATGGGAATCACACCAGTAGTGTGGTTTTTCTCCCCTTCCCCTCATCACCTCTCTCTTTACAGGAATATAACTCCCCCCTATTTCAAATATCTTTAAGAATCCAACCCAGCCTTAGCTTCTGTCTATCAGAGGTTGCTGAGTATCATCCTGTTGTCCTTCTGTTAAGCTAAGCAATTTGTATGTGAAACCTTGGACATGTATTACGGGGGCAGTATGTAACAGTAGTTTCATTTTTGCTTTTCAGCACTGGCATCTTCAGACTTACTAATGCTGGCATGCTAGAAGTTTCTGCTTGTAAAAAGAAGGGATTCCATCCACATACAAAGGAGCCTAGGTTATTCAATGTAAGTATACAATCCAACATGGTTGTGATTATTCAAATTCTTGCCCATGATTCTGCTGCAAGCAGAAATTATATGTGCTTCAGATTAGGTTTCTTTATAGTTGTTCCCCATTTTAATAACTCATTACCCTTACTTCACTGACTGAGGTAGACATCAGGAGTCTACTTAAGCAGTCAATAGCAGCCATGAGATGAGTGTTACACACTGCCATTCAAATGGTGGCTAACGAGAAGCAGTTACTATGACTCACCACTTTTACCTGCTTTAAAGGTGACATTTTCAAGTGGGAGTTGTTCCTGAGCCCTTCAGTTTTTAAACGAAGCATTCAGTTCATTTCCCCAACTCTGGTGTCCCAACAAAACATACCAGATACTAAAAAGTGCAGCTATGAGTAGATTAAGCCCCATTTCCTTCGCTGACAAATATTTCCCCCTGGCTTCTTAGAAGCCTTTCTCAGTAAACCCCATCTATTTTGATGTTTAATAGCATAGTATGTTATATGTATGGCTGAACAGTATAGTCAGTCAGAATTATCAGAAATGTCACTGTTGTCTGAAAGGCAACAATCTTTTTAATTAATGAATAAGATTTTTTTTTAAATGGAGGTCTTGTCAAATTCAGAGCATCTCGTATAGTTCAAAATGAAATGTTTGAGTGCAGAGAAGTAATACTGAAAGACATTGTAATTTACTACTTTGTTGTAGGACTCTCAGAATATCAGTCTTACTCCTCAAAAGAAGGAGACATTGCATTTCTTTATTTTGTTCTTAGGGATAATGAGAAGGTAGTCCAACTCTGAAAAATTTTGGTATTTTTTTGTACCTATTAAGATAGATAGGTTCTTTTCAGTGGTCCTTTAGAGACTTAGTTCATGAATGAAGTTGTTACTGGCCCTGTGAGCTCAGTTATAACCATTAGACACACTGCTGGTATCACATATCATACACAAATATCCTTTCAAGTAAAATTCCCAAAACACATTGATCTTCCAACAAAAACAGTAAGATCACAGCTGGAGGAAAAATGTCAGAGATGATAATACAGGAAGCTTTGAGAAACCTGACCAGAACAACCCTAATCTGCTATCTATCTGGTTTCTGGTAAAAGCTCTTCAATACAGACACAAATCAAGTTGCTATTTTTGACTCTAAAGACATAGTGTAGTCTTAAATGCTTTAAAATCCGTCTTGTGGGTAGACTTATCTGAAGCTACTGCAGGAAGAGAACAGAGTTCTCACTTTCCTTGCTGCTGTCCCCCGTGCACCTATTCTAGTGCAGCACACAACACCTTCCCCCTCCATTTCAGATATCCCATGCTGTGATACCTAAAGGACAGCAGAGAATTATAATCTGTTTCATGGGCCATGCACTAAGCAATGTCCTCTTCAGAAATTTATTTCTGATTGTATGTTGTAGTCCTTGCTTTGTTCTACAGTATGCATCTGTGACAGTTGGGCACAGTGACGGGTTCAATCAAAGCTAGATAAATAGGTGTAGTGTTAAGCAGGCTCATAAAAATAAAAGGAAACAAACGCACTCATGTGCTATTTTACTGAAACTGATTTCTGTGAGTAATCGTTGTCTTCTTCTGCAGCCGTGTAACCATGTGGTCGGGAAAGACATAAAGATAATTGTGCTGGATCTGAGGTGATACGGATGGACGATAGCAATGTCGCTATATAAAAGGCCAAAAAAAAAAAAAAGGATTCCTGTTTTTCCTACATTTTCAGAAATTACTTTTATATTTATACATTTTAGATTGAATGGTTTGATATTTATTGCTCTAGGCTGTTTTGGAGTTATTTTGTTGCTCTGTCAAGATGGAGTTCAGTGTTCTGTAAACAAATCTCACCTATAAACCACAACAATAAAATGAACTTCAAACAACAGTAACTGTGTTGAAAGAAGTATTTTTTCTTTTGTTACTTGTTAGAGGTATTTATCAGTGGTTGGCTTTTTGTGACTTCCAGCTGTGTACATCTCTTCTCTGCTTCAGTGAATTTACATTATAGGTAGTAGAGGCAAATACATCAGTTTGGGTGAGTTGGGTCTTTTCCCCCTATCTTTTTCCCCATTCCACCCTTGTATAGCTCGTTTCTGCTAAGTTGTTATGCAGAAGACACATAGGAAAACACGAGTTCTTTATCTGAGAGCTGACCCTCATCACATTGTGGCATAGCAGAAATGCATCAGAGTCCCTTGAAAAAAAATGTGTCTTCTCCAGCAACCCTTTATCAGAAACTTTTATTTGAAATCAAGTTCTTATCCTGAAAAGGTTTCCCTGGATCTATCTGGAGTTAGGTAAAAAGATCTCGATAGAGTTAGAAGGAAGAACCATACAAGGTTATTTGCTCTTACAAGAGTTTATTTAGTATCTGTTCCAAGAACCTAGTTGACCTACACTTTAAATAATTTGATTAGTACAAAAAAGTTTGGAACATGTTCTAGCAATCAGAAGCTGGACAAGATCTGGAACCCAGGGGTCACACAGACATGGTAAATAACAGGTGCTGTTGCAAAGAGCTGACAGTTTGAAAGATAATGAGTAACAGGCAAGTGAGGTAAACTATTGAGTTTAGAGAGGAAACAAGGTAACAAAAATAAATAGCATCCTTTATCCTGAACTGTAATGAACACAGACTGCAGCAAGTTCCTCAGAACTGACTTGTTCCATGTCCGTCTTGGTGAATTCTTTATTCATTTATGTACTTCTAAGACAGTATTACTGGCATCAGCTTCTATGCATATACTTCTAGTTGAATATCTGTTTTGATATATTTAATACTATTAACATAATCAGAAAAAAATCACAGAAAAAGAAAATTGTCTAAATTATTTTATCTACTTTGATTACATTACCCCCAAAAATACCTGTTTTGAAGAAAAAGTGTATTAAGCCAGCTTAATTAAATTTAAAAATAATAATGACATAAAAATAATAGGCTGCACTCATCCTGAGGGCATATGATAGGAAAGGCATGTGTTCAATCTAATATTAGTGTTTACATATGTTCCCAAAGGAACAGGTTTCATTTCTTTAAAGAAAACACACAGAATTGTTGTGGTATGTATCATACACCTCTGGGCCATACGCTGTAAAAAAATAGCTCTTCCAGCATGACAGATGTGGATGAAGAAGTAATGTGGATAGATAATATTTCTGGATAGAACAGATGCAGAGCAGAGTGCACATGCTCATCCTGATAGTGAACAGATGCTATGCTCCTTCGGTGCTGTCCAGAACTTTGGAAAAAAACAGACTAGTTCTGTTTGCAGACTAAAATGTTTACTGAAGCTAAACTTTGACAACATGCAGGCTGATAGCTGAGCATTTTCTAGCATTGTTATCATCAAGCAAAAGGTACCACTTTTTCTACTAAGCCCAGTATAGTGTAGTAACAAATTCATGTCACAAGATGGAGCTTCAAACCAGCTGTAAGGGTACCTCCATGAAGGCATAGGTTGGTTTGTTTTTTTTTTTTTGTTGTGGTTTTTTGGTTTTGGGTTTTTTTTTTTTTAATAGCGTATTTTTAATTTATTAAAAAAAAATACGTAGTATCCAATTAGAGTCATTACAATGAAGCATTTATGGAATGAAATTGTAAGAATATATTTTCCGGAATACATTCACAGTAATACACTAAGCAGACATATAAGGATAAAGCAATTTAAAAACATTTGCGGTGAACAATGGATGGGCCAGCTTCATCATATTCCTGTTTGCTGATCCACATCTGCTGGAAAGTAGACAGGGAGGCAAGAATAGAGCCTCCAATCCAGACGGAGTACTTACGTTCAGGAGGGGCAATGATCTGTTTAAGAAATAAAAGCATTAAATACAACTGTCCACTGTGAATAAAATAAATTTGTTATACAAAAATATTAAAGAAGTTATATTCGATATTAACGAAAGCACTATATCTATGTGCTAGTGCCATCTCTGGCATTACAGTTAGCAATTGCTGCAAGCAGTAAAGTTAAAAAGCTGTTATTTAAGTCTGGGCCTAAATCCTCAATTTCTCTGCCTGAGTCAGTCTGCCCATTAAGAGTAGTGTATTTGTGTATTCATGACTGCATATGAAAAAAGGGAAGATAATTGCTCTGGAAACATATAATGATAGCCCAGGAGGGCTAGGAAAAATGGGTGACCTATGAAGCACTCTTATTGGTATTGCTGGTAAAATGTTTGCAAAGCAAGGAACAGAAGATTTGAAGGCACAGAAGGAAGACTGGCTTATCAGAGGCTCCTTTTCCTGAACTTGTAGGCCAAGGACAAAACCAGCAATTCCTCTCTCCCATCTCCATCAGCCAAAAAGGGCTGAAGAAGCTCATATACAGCCTCAGAGGAAAATTGGTACTGCTGGGTCCACGCTATCCTTTGGCCATGTTAGGACAGCTTGCAGAATTCACCATGCACAAGGAAATGAGAGGAGGATTTCTTCTTTCAGCAACAAAGTTAACAGGTGGTGATTATTTGCTAGAAGGTACAGACGTGATTCAAAGTATGTACAAAGCACTTTGTAAAGTGTTGCTATGTTTCACTAGATTCTTGAGGACTTTGTACATGCCAATTGAAATAGTCTACAAATAATTGCACCATACCTTGATCTTCATAGTGCTGGGAGCCAGAGCAGTTATTTCTTTCTGCATCCTGTCTGCAATACCCGGGTACATTGTAGTGCCTCCAGACAGCACATTGTTGGCATAAAGATCCTTTCTGATATCTATGTCACACTTCATGATGCTGTTGTAAGTGGTTTCATGAATGCCAGCAGACTCCATGCCTGGAAAAGTTACAGAGGAACACTGAAGAAGCACCTCTGTACAGAGACTTAAAATTGTTAATGCACAACTGACACCATGAACTTCAGTGCCTCTTTGGAAGACATCAGTCTTCAGAGTTGTGGAAATCTGGAAAGTCATTCTGCAGCTGCTGAAATTATGTGCTTAGCAGACTCGGTATACAGCCCTGCTCTCCTCCTTACCCACACAACTCCTCCTTAAAAAGAAAGCTGGGGTTGTGGAAAAGTAAATTTCCACTAGGCTTTTGCAAGCAATCTTAAATGTCCTAAGAATTCCTTATATGGTCTTGTAATAATTTGTTTTCTTATATTCTTTTTTTCCCCCTTTTTTTGTTAGAAAGTCAGCTCAGAGACAAAACAGTCAAAATATGTCCTAATAGCTCTAAGTATGCAATGACATCATTTCTGAGCTGAAATTCTGCTGATTGGCACAATCGACTGTATTTCTGTGTGACCCGTTGCAAGTTTGCCATCATGGTTGTTGATTAGCTTGGCACATTGCGTTGGCTTTGCTCTGCAAGTGTGATGAACCGTGGATTCAGGATTTGGAGCAGTCTTTTAGAAAAATAAAACTAGTGTTCCCTGCAAGTACATTCAAACTACAACCCACGCACTATCTAGAAAAGTGGCTTTGCAGCCATACTTCTTGTAGTAGCCAACTGCACAACTTCCAAAATGTTGTGCAAGATGCCAGAAGCCACAAATAAACATTCAGGGTGTATTTCAGGAAAGCATTTTGCCTTACTGTTTGGCATGTAGTTCCTCCCACCATATTAATAGTACTGTTCTAAAAGATTATTTTATAATGAGTGCTAAGACATACTTGTGTGTACATCTAAGTGAGCTATCAGTAGGACACAATTAAAAGAAAACAGGGACTTGATGTTTATGTGCAGTTTACCAAGGCAGAACAATCATTCAACCTACCAATGAAAGATGGCTGGAAGAGGGTCTCCGGGCAGCGGAAGCGTTCATTTCCAATGGTGATCACCTGACCGTCAGGCAGCTCATAGCTTTTTTCCAGAGAGGAGGAAGAGGCAGCAGTGGCCATCTCATTTTCAAAGTCCAGGGCCACATAACACAGCTTCTCCTTGATGTCACGGACAATTTCACGCTCCGCTGTCAAGAGGATTTGGTCTTTAGAATGACATTCAGGAAGGACTCAGATATGTTGACAGGTTGTTCCCTGTCATTCTCTATCACCATCACGCCCCACTTTTCAAACAAAGCCTCTGCTAGTCTTGCAGGGGACTTTCCTATTGGACTCTTTCTTGTGTCTAATCAACTGCAGAATGACTAGTAGGCCTTTTAAGGCCACTAGAAACATTGCACATTAAACAACTCTCCTCCTCAGTCAGCAGCGTGTCCTTACCAGTGGTCACAAAGGAGTAGCCACGTTCTGTCAGGATTTTCATGAGGTAGTCTGTAAGGTCACGACCAGCCAGGTCCAGACGCATGATGGCGTGCGGCAAGGCATAGCCTTCGTAAATTGGCACATTGTGGGTAACACCGTCCCCAGAGTCAAGCACAATCCCTTTGAGAGGATAACACATGGTTCATTCTCAGGTGCACACCAACACACTTAAATATTTCAAATGCCTGTGCCAACTTCCCCAGAGGCCTACCTGTGGTACGTCCAGAAGCATAGAGGGACAAAACGGCTTGAATAGCTACATACATGGCGGGCACATTGAAAGTCTCGAACATAATCTGAAACATAATTAAGATTCTTGCCTTAACAGTAGGGGTTTTAACTCAATTGAAGCAATATACCCCAAAAGAGGGAGAAGACAATGTTTTCTTATTTCTTGATAGTTAGTAATAAAAAGGATGGAAAATACCAAATCTAAATGCAAAAATATCTGTATATGGCCTATATCTACAATGTATGAGTAAACACACATGCACATCTTAAAGATAATTTTGTAATAGGGCTGGGCATAAAAAAAAAGATTAAGATGACATTAAGCTTGGACGGACTGAAGTTCTTACCTTCAAAACTGATACACTGACTCTCTAAAGTAAATATAATATTACGCAAATATGACAGGTGGTCACTATGCACTTTCCATCTTCCATAACAAAGAGAGAGACTACTGGACAGTCAAGTTGGCATGATTAACTGAAGTGAAATTCACATCCTGTTGAAGTCACAAAGTTGGAAGTATTCCATAGCTTCAGCGTGAGTTTACCTGGGTCATTTTCTCTCTATTGGCTTTGGGATTCAGTGGTGCTTCCGTCAGCAGAGTCGGGTGTTCTTCAGGTGCAACACGGAGCTCATTATAGAAAGAGTGATGCCAGATCTGAGGACAATGGGAGAAGCCAAAGGAATGTTTCGAATGCAGTTGCTCTTATTACCTTCATTGAGATTACCAGAGTAATTGCAGAAAAAAAATTATATTTGTCTATTTAACTATTCTCAGGTTTTACTGCTAGTAATGTATGATTTCTTTTAAGGACACATAAGTTAGTGAAAATAAATATGCTATTCTCACAGTATAAGAGATAGAGCAGGATGGACTTGGTTCCATCAATGCTATTTCAATAATGATTGAAACAACTGTAGAACATATGCAGACCTGTGCAGCAGAGCTCAATAGGCAATGGGTCTCTTGAAGACAGTTTCATCTTTTGGTTTGTAGAGGCCAGCCCAAGAACTCGTGAAAAGAAACTATGGCAAATGATTTGTGAGGCTGAAAGTCAGCTTGTGTTTATCACCTCCTTATGGCTCATTTGTACAAGCTACAAAAATCTGAGGCTGAGTGGACTGCAATGAGGAGGGTACACCAATAAGAATTAAAACCACCAGAGATTTTCTAGAGGCCAAAATGTTTTTTCTAAGTTCATTTTCAAGCTCATGATCATTAGAGACTGGTTGATAGATTAGGCATCTGAAAGGTTTTGCTGTCTTTCCAAGTAAAACATACAATGCTATGAGAGTCAGTAAGTCCTGTGTGGCTCCACACACTTGCAGTGTGTTGTGATGTCCCAGCTGTTTCAAATAGCCCTGTTTCCACAGCACAACGCTAAACAGAAGTACCATCTTAGAAGTTATATCAACCGTACAGACTACAAACGTAAACATGATTCTGGAAGTCTTTTATCCAAACACTGGCTCTGAAATGGATGCATTGCACTGCAGTATTGCTGATCTTTCAAGCATTAAAAAGTATGCATGTAAATTGTCCCCTTCACATCAGAATTACGTACACGCTTTGCATTTTTGCAGAAACAGATACCTTCTTAAACTGCATTTCCTGACTAGCAAATTGAAGATAATTTCTTTCCTTCCCCTCCCCCCCCCGCCTTTTTTCCCCCTCCAGTATTTATCCAAGGTATATAAACCATACAAGAGTAAGAGAACTCCCAGTAACTATTTTGGTGTACTCCTAGAGATACTTCAGCTTTAGATGCAAGGTAACATTTTAGTAACGACCTTCTTGCTAAACCATACTTGAAAGAATGATGCTTTCATCTAAAATTCAGTGAGTATTCTGTAAACATTTGGTTCAAGTATTTCTTGATTACATTTCTTTCAAGTATTTCAAGTTTACCAGTGATATACATCAACTTTTCAAAGCTAAAATACCTTCTCCATGTCATCCCAGTTTGTAATGATGCCATGTTCTATGGGGTATTTCAAGGTCAGGATTCCTCTCTTGCTTTGAGCTTCATCACCTACATAGCTGTCTTTTTGGCCCATACCAACCATCACACCCTATAAAATAACACAAATGGAGTTAGTCTCTCAAGGAGAGGTGTCACAGAGTAGTCAAAACATTAGCTGTGAAATAAAATACAGTTGCCAGTGTTACTAGTTACAAAATATGAGTACTAATGAATGAAGAATTACTCACTGCTCTTTAATTTCCAAAACAAAATGTTTAGTTCACTTAAACCTCTGGAGTTTACTTTTCCACTACAGTTTAAGTAAACAGTACAGGTACAATGTTAAATTTGTCAAGATAAAGTGGAAAAGTAGGGGTGTTTTAATGTTCATTATTATTTAGGGATGAACTGTCTGCTAAACTATAATAAAGTGGAGCAAAACAGAAAGTCAGATTGTGCCATCTAAGGGTCAAGATGGAGCAATACACACTATACACTTCCCAAAGCTTACATTTCAACATTTTTAAATCTTCTTTTTGTACACTATAATATTGCCATTAGAGGCAGACAAATCAAGTCTCCTAGTACAGGCTTCTTTTTAGGTATTCTCATGGATCCTGTAGAAACAGTCCATGGACCAGAAGCTGGAAACTACTCTGGATATACAGTAATCTCTGTGTTAAAGTTAGAAATACTGGTAAAAAATAGTAGACAGTAGGATGCTTTGAGTGCATAATACCCTTGTTCAAACTTTGGCAACTCTAACCGCCCTGTCTTAGAAACAGGTAAGCAGGATTTGCAATTTATGATGAGATGATCCTTCCTTCAGGGCATTAATGCTATCTGTGGGAAGTGATCAGGAAGACAGGTTCTAGAAACCTGCTGTATTTGTTTCCACTGTGACTTTATGTCTTTCTTTGAGCAATTAATACCATTCACACTAGCTACAGAAGCTGGCATTTGAATATTTTTTGTAATTATGTTAGTGCCCAGAGGCCTCAACTAGGCACACATTTCTTCTGCCCTGAAAAGCTTAAAATGTAGTTGCTTTTGCTGGGTATATAAAATACCGCATCTTACAACCAGTTTACCTCTTCCCATTTCACCAGGTCCTTAGGTGGATCTGCTAATTAGGATTAATTTGTCATCGCCTAGCCAAGCTGCTCTAGTTCATGCTAATGATGATCTAGCTTGGAAGCTCTCTATATTTAACAGGTCAGATAGTATACATATTTTGCAAACTATTAAAATCTACTGGAATGCATCATATACACAAATGCAAAACAAAGCTAAAGAAACTCAACTCTAGACAGGTGCCTATTTGTGATACAGCCAATTGAATAATGTCAGGAAGGTTAATAGGAAGCTGACAGAAAACTTATCTTTCCTCCTTTAGTTTTCCACACATCACCTACCACCAGCTCTTAGGGCAGTCATTAATTTCCATATACTCTGTGTTTGGCTTTTGTGGGTTTTTTAAACTAACTTTACTCACCAGGTTCTCTGGGTAAGCATCCAATATTAATGGATAGGGAGAAGAGGGCATGTAAGGGAGTGAAAAATTTTAGAAGGGCTCCTCTCACAAGGCAAGAGACCTAGTTTGATTCAGGTGAGTACACTGCTGGACTCATTTTGCCTGGAAATACTGTGTTACACAGATCACCCAGGGCTGGGCTAGTCCCAAACACAGGAAAAGGTGGCTCTGGGGTGCAGGGCTGGGGATGGGGCAGCAAAGCCTTCTACAAGCCCAGTATGGAATAACCAAAGGAGTTCATCACCTGGTGCCTGGGACGACCCACAATGGAAGGGAAAACTGCTCTTGGAGCATCGTCCCCAGCAAAGCCGGCTTTACAGAGCCCTGACCCGTTGTCACAAACAAGGGCAGTGCTGTCCTCTTCTTCACACATCTTCTACGCCAAGGTCCTCAGGCCCTCCAGACAGAAAACAGCCCTACGAAAACAGCAGGAAATAATTCTTTTAAAGAAAAACATACTCAGGTAGCAGACCCATACAGAGAAAGCTGTATGAAAGGAACCAAGACTAGCAAAGAGAGGTATGGCACGGGTTTGGCAATCACAAGTCCTGTGGGCCATACAAGGGAACGACTTCCTTTGGAAAGTGTGAGATGTTTCGACCACATCTGCCAGAGAGCTGTATGCACTAAAGACTATCCAGGGGATTCCAGAGGAGACTTCTAGTCCTGCAGCATGGGCAGACAGATCAGGGATCAACAAATGTTTATCTAAATTTGGTCACAGAAGTCCAAGGCTGGGGGTGGGGAGGAGATAAAAGAGAATGCTGGACTGACAGCTGCAAAAACAAAGATCCCTTTGAATTAGATTCAGCACAACTTCCCCGGCTTTTCTATCACCCTGACAAAACCCTGACACCTGGAAAGCTGTCAAAGGTAAGAGCTCTTCAGTCTTCCCCATCAAGTCTTGGGCTTCCCAAAAACTAAGCACATTAAATGCTACGCATGTACCAGTGTTTTCCTAATGCAGATATTATACCACTGGTTCAAGATGGCCCAATTAAGTTTACATGTAACATTTTAAAAGAGAAGAAATGTTCCCAATTAAAAAGGGAAAGATGGAAAAAAAAAAAAAAAGTGCCTTTTTCCAGCCCTCCCCTAGTCACTCAGAAAAAATAACCCACCTTTAAAATGAAGGCAAGGACAGTATGTGTTTCAAAAACAGGCCAGAGTGTATAGTCTATCATTATTTCAAAGCAGCTAATAAACTGCATTTGTAGAGTGTCAGAGTAATTTATGTTGGCTCCTTGTCTCAGTAAAAAGAAAGTTTTCCTCCTCTGGCAACAGGAAAATAATATGGGTAATAAAAATGCTTTGAAGGCTTTGTATTAAAGTCAATTACAGAAACAAGCACTGAATACCAGAACTCAAGAAGAACTATTTGCTTGCAATTTATAGTGTGGTAGGGAATCACTTGGCTAGCTCTGAGCCTGGGCTTCCACGCAGAGTTCAACAAATTGCAGTGTGTTAACAGCTAAAGGAGACAGCTGTCATCCACAGACCAGCTGGCTCCGCACACAGTCTCCCAAACCTTCTGCCACGGGAATACTGGAAGTGCAGGATGAAGTGGGAATGAGGTCGGCAAGAGCCATGGCCCAGGAGCAAGGGAGCCTACAATCTATTTAGCCTCTATATCGGATGGAGCAAGCATGAACAGTTCACCCAAATCCTTAATTTGAGATCCTCTGCCTCCCCCCAGCCAGGCAGCCACGAGACACAGCTGCAGCCCTGCTCCTGCAGCCTGCTTGGGCACAGCTCCCAGGAGAAGACAAGGATAAGGAAACCCTGACTTGAGGTACTCCAGATACTTTATCATTATTATTGGGAAAGGAAAGTAAGTTGCAATTTTAGTATTTATCAAACTCCTGGGAAAACAAGCTCTTTATATTCAAACACTTATTGAATGGAGTACAATTGTTATCTAACATGAATGAACTGACTGGTTTGGACAAACCATTTCCTAATTAGGAAATAGGCTTTTCAACCATCTGTTTTTGGAACAGAGTTCGAGGTCAGGGGGTTTGCTCAAACCCATGCAGCTAATGCGATGCCAAAAATCACTTGGGGGAGGGGAAAGAAGGGGGCAGGAAAGGCTACATTTCTGAGCTTAGTGGACTCCAAATGAAAACCATATTTAGTAATAAAGCTCAAAAAGCTGAGAAATCAAAGCTGAAGGGTTTCAGGCAGGGTGCTCTGCTGCCAGCCAGTGAGTTACAGCTCAGAACTGCCATGGCATGCAGTAGTGACATCCTACAGCAGCAAATGTCACTCAGTACTGTGGAAAAAAGGAAATGTTTCTCCCAAGTATTTAATACAGTATTTAGCCTCTTTATGCTACCTGCCTTATATTTAAAGATAGTCATTCAGCTCACCAATCTCCACAACAAGCTACTAAGAGAACTCCAGCCCCACAAGAAATGCTGTGTGTAGCCTGTTCCTTAATGAAATGTTTGGCATTTTACAGAACAGTAATTTCATATATGTAGAGACAAGGACAGATACACACACATACTCTTTACATCCTATTAGACACTGCTATTTTGTGTACTTCCAGTTCTATTTACACTCACATGCCACAAAACACTCATGTCACCTTACACTGAGTTAACAGCACGGAAGCAAACCTGTTGAGAAACCCTACTGCACTGTGGGCAAATTCACCCTTCCAGGAACTCTGTTCTGTACAAAACTAACACCACAAGGTCACACGAGTTCATTTAAACATTAATGTAGCTATAATTCCTGCCATGGCATTACACAGGCTGTGTCTTTGTGCTGTTGGTGGAGTGCTGGTGAAAGCATCAAAATCATCAGGTAGAGCTTTTATTTCCCTTTCAGAAGTACTATAAAATAAAGACAACTCAGTATAGATATTACAAGAATTTTATCAATTCAATTCTAAAAGTAATTTTTCTTAAGCAAACTACAGCACAGCAGCACATCCTCCTGAATAGCTTCCATTTGACATTATTTAATTGAAGTCCACCAGCAACCTGTAAATCATGCTACTGGTTGAGTGCCACTTACCCTGACAGTGCTTGGTTGGGGATAGCTGCTCTGGGATGGTGCACTCTGTATCTGAAAGCTCTGAGGTTATATAGTCCCTTCAGCTCTTCTCCTCCCACTAGCCTCCCAAACAAGGAGCAGAGACAGACAGAGACAGAACTGAAGTCTCTAACAAAACCATATAGGGGCCGTATTACAAAAACCTCTAATCCGGGTGGCCAAAGGCCCTGGGTCTCTTCTACTGCATTCCAGTGTAGAGCTCATGAAACAGGAGGAGACTTTCAGCTGTGTAAGATAAACACTTGAAAACTTCAGGAGAGTTGCTAAAATACAGAGAGACAGAGTGTGCTCACAATAGACACTCTCTGGCAGGAGGAGCATGTGTTCAAACAAGAGAGGTCCAGACCTCCATAGTAACATCCGAGAGGCACAGAGATCAATCAAGTCATTTATAATAGGGAAGGGAAGGCATTTTTAAAGAAAGACTTTGCTTCCAATAAAGATTCTGACAAAAACAATGAAAATATTTCTGGCAAGCTAAACAGCTGCTGAATTTTGCTACAAAGTCTCTTTAAAAGCTCAGTGTTTTGCTTGTATGTTAGTATTGTCCATAGGCTTAAGGGTAGTGAAAAAAGTACCTACTGTTGTATCAGGCTCACACTGAAGTCTTTGAAGGTTGTGAAAATGTTCTGTTAAAAGATTGTTATGATCCCTCTGGATTGCAATGGGTTAGAATCCATTCTGTTTCTCTGTCAGCTTATTTTCAAAACCCTAGGACCTGTGGGCCAGCTTCACCCTAGTGCTACTCCACTGATAGCCACAAGTCTGGACTGTTGTAAACTCATCTCGAGTTGTTAATAATAAAGTTGTTAAATTTTGTAACTCTCATCTAGCTTTTCTGTTGAACATATTTTTAGTGAATAAAGCAAGGGTTCTCACTGTACAAGTTATTTTCAGCACAGGACTGGTTTTTTACAGCTGTAGCCAGCTGTTCTCTGGATAGGCTGTTTCTAGCAAAGCAGCCCTTTCCTAGTCAACAATATTTCATCGTTATGTTTGTACTAAAGACCAGAAATCAGCATCTCTAAACTCCAATACTAAACCATTACAAATTCAAAACTTCTCTATGAGCACAAGCCAAGAACGATGTAAGAGTCCAAGTGAGATTCTTGCTTTGTGAGTCTGCTACAATGGGGAGAGGCACCACGTGTTTGCTTACAGAGTGCTGCCTAACTAAGCAGTCTTAATACAAGGAAATCTCCCATACAACCGCATGGGAGTTTTTCTCATGTAGAGATCATAAGGATTAAGCCACTAGAAGAGATAGCAGATAGGCAGAGTTAGGGATTGAAGACCAAAAGGAATTTACTTTTAAGGAAAGGAACTTTTAAGGAATGTAATTGCCTTTGAGGGCCAGAAACAGAAGCTAACAAGTGTTGGAACATGAGCCATGCAAAAGCTATTTCTTATTTCACCTCCAGAATTAGGGCAAAAGATAAGAGATATTTAAAAAAAAAATAAAAAAAAAAAAAGGAAAAAAACACCAAGGTAAGCAACCTACAACAGAGGCTATAAACAGATCTTTTTTTGTGTATCTCCAACTCACACTCAAAGGACAGCCAAAACCAAATTCTTTGTTTTCAAACAACACTCAAAAACACAGCTGAGAAAAATCACATACTCCGCACTGAACATACGGTATACGATCAGGGAACTCAGGTCAAGGGGAAGGAGAATTTCACACAGCAGAACCCTCCACCGCAGTATCTTGTCTGATTTTAATACAAACATCAATTATCTCCTAGATTAGAGGAAATATAATCCAAGGTTTTCTGAAGCATCATCTACTGCTTGTCCTTGGAAATACCAAGACAGGGACAAAAAGCCAAAAAGAATCCAAACTTTTCACCTTAATGAGAAGAGGTTCTCACTCCCAAAAAAGCTTACTGGTGATGATGCTCTAGTGGACAAAGCACATATGAGATTGCAGGGACAAGTAAGCAACCCTTCAGTAGAACTGGTACACCATTCACATTGCACCTCAGCATAGACAGAAATACAGGCAACAGTTTTCTACAAGAGGCCTCTGTGGATATGGTAGGAGGCAGTGGCCATGCAAATACCACAGACACCTTTGTATCTCTGCCAAGCTTCACCACAGTTCCTGTAAACTCAGCCTGGTGCATACCACAATTACTGGCGGTGGCAACAATGGCAGCAGCAGCCCCTAGTCTGCCTTGAGGAATGGTTATTTGAGCGGGGATTACACATAACCTTGCCTCTCATGAGCACCAAAGATGTGGGAATACCAGCTTCCAGGGTGCTCATGGAAAAGATACAGCTGACACAGAGTCTCATTCAGAGCAGGTAGTTGTTGGTACAGCAATAAAGAGGAAACACCAATTGTTTGGAGGAACCAGACTAGAAGGGAGAAGTAAGCCCAGAGACTGACTGAGCAGTAGTGATGGTTCCACAGGAACAGCACAGCAAAAATGCAGAGAGACTGCACAACCATGGCTCCAGCACACAATGGAGAGCCAGCACTCTGCAGGGAGCTCATCTCTGGGGTGTTACGTTACGGAAGGTCCTGAGGCAGGCAGGAAGGAAGGCAAACAAGTTAACTATGTGAGGAAATTAGGTCAGTCTGGCTCAAGGAACATTATAGAATATAATTTTTTTTTTTTTTTTAGTGATTCCATGCATGAGCTATGATCACACAGATATTACTACAGTTAAAAACACATTGGAAAAAATTACATTAGTAGTTTACATCTTTCTTCTCAGCAACATAGGTCATTACCAGAGTGATAGGTGGGAAGGGGAGAATGTACTTGTCATGAGACAGGAATGACAACCTAAAGAGAACTGAATAGAGCAAGACTTCTGAGAACCAAGCCTAAATGCTGGGGATCAAACTGCTG